CTACAAAGTTCACATACAGAATCTGCACAACTGGACTACAAAGATAAATTGCAAAAACCTACCTCATAGTGATTTTGTGTTGGCCTCATTCCTGTCTGTCATGGGGTACACGTGGGCTTGTGGCTGACAGACTGGACATCCCTGAGTCCAGTGGACATATGTAAGCAGCGGAAGAATGGAAGTGTGGAGTAATGTGCCAGAAAAGCTAAGGCAGTTTAGTGCCTACCTTCTCAAAGACTGGTGCATCCCGAGTTGTTAGGTGCCCTTTTATTGTAACTCATAAGCTATTCCTGGCCCAAAGGCAGCTATTAATGGGACCAAATTGGACCAGATACCTGCTAACTGGAAATCATTAAAAATTTTCTTTTCCTCACTTAAGTAATTGGTAGATTATTTCCATTTTAGACAGATTAATTGGATTCTTGAGAAGCCTATATATTTGAATGAACTTATCACTTACTGTTTCTCAGTCCTTTCATTGTGCTTAAATTACTCATGTGTTCCCCTCTGTCCTTATCTGTGGTCTGTCTCAGTTCTTATAATACTATAACTTGGTCAGTATGTTGGTTAATTAGCATAGGTGGTTTGCCTTCTGAAACATCTTTCCTTGACTAGCAGTGCACCAATTTGGTTTTCTTCCTGCTTCATTAAGTATCCGTTTCATCCTTCTTCAATTCAACCTCTGAATTTTGGGGTGTCCCAGGTTTATTGAGGAGCCCTGTCTAGTGTTTATACTTGCTATCTGACTGCTGTCATCGGGTAAGATGCTTTAACTCGCCTGTGTTGACACTGACATCTTAGAGACTCACAGCTCTACCCTTGTCTTCTCTTACTACCTGACTGACAAACTCAGCTGCGTGTATACTGCCTCCAGCCTAACAGCAGAAAAGGAAACGAAGGCTCTTGTTTATAGAGCTCTGCCTTCTGCCGCTGTTTTTATTATCTCACCAGTGAGATCACCAAACAGCAAAAAAGCAAAAAAGCAAAAAAGCCTTTGGCCTTGGCTTCTTTCCCTCTTACCCTATAAATAGATTACTGACTGTTTGACAACAAAGTTATACGAACAAAACTGTTACAGACATTTGTGTGTAGACTGTGGATGGACCTGTTTTATGTTGTAGCCTCTCTAGTAGTTGGGGATATTGATTTTCTGATTCTAGCCACTATAGTAGATGTTTAGTGGATTTCATTTGTATTTCCAGTAGAAACATTTTAATGACCAATGATATTAAGTGACTCTTTGTCATTCTTACTGTGAATGTGTGTGTGTGTGTGTGTGTGCGTGCCCACTCTCAGGTAAGCATGCAGGGAACCCAGAAGTTTGACATGGAGAATATCTTCTTCAATTGCTTCTCCTTCTTATTTTTTGAGACAAAGTTTCTTAGAGCTCAGGGTTATGGTTAGACTAGTTCCCACAGTGCCTCAGGTGCTGCAAGGCCTTCCTGGAGAAGACTAACTAGCTGGTTCTGCCTACTGTCACTGGACAACTTACCCACTAGTGCTGTGTCCTTGGGTGGTAATGATCCTTATCCAGTGCACTGAATACCAA